GCGAACGGTCAAGGACGTCGGTCCCGGACCCCCAGTGTGGAAACGGTTCCAAGCCCGATGACCCCCCCCCCGACTGCACCCGCTCCGGCACCCAGTGCGGAACGCGCCATGACCGTCTCGGGTACACCCCCAGAACCGGATGACTCCGGCCCACTGGCCTCGAGGGGCGGATCCTCGAACCACGAAGTCCAGGCGTCCCCTGGGGGGGGCGGGCCTGCTTCAACGCCCGCAGCCCCTCGGGAATCCGTCCTGGAGTCCCCCGAGTCCGCGCCCATGGACGCCCAAGTCGCATTGACCCGGTCGTTCGTTATGGTGGCAATGGCTGGGAAAAGTCTCGACGCGGAGCCCGCAGTCTACTATCACCAAGGTTCCGACTTCGTGCTTTTAGACATGCTCAAGAACCAGCTGGCGTATCTCCCCGACCTCAGCGTTCTCCGGCCCGAGTCCTACATCGAAGATGCGATCGTCGGTGAGCCCGGAGAATCGGACCCCGAAGAGGAGGAGAGGCTCCGGGCCATCCTCCGGAAGCACCGAATGATTTTCTTGGGAGAAGGGAATGCGCATCCTCCCCCGGTCCGGGGCGTCGTGTGCAACCTGGCGGTTGGGGACACAAACCCATTTCCATGCGGTCACGGAGGATTCCTGCCGACTTACTGTCCAAGGTGTATGAGTTGCTCAAGCGTCTCCTGGAAACTGATCTGATCGAGTACTTTGACTCGGAGTGGGCATCGGCCATCGTCCTCGTGATGAAGAAGAACGGTATCGATGTCCGCTTGTGCATCGACTACCGGTTGGTGAACCAGCTGATCAACCGATGAACTACCCCTACCCTTAATCGACGAACTCATGAGCAACTTCGCCGCCACTATGTGGTTCATGACTCTGGACATGGCGAGTGGGTTCTGGGCGGTTCCAATGACAGCCCGAGATCAGCTGATCTCGGCCTTCATTTGCCCGCTCATACACTTTCAGTGGAAGCGCATGCCGTTCGGGCTGAAGAACGCCCCACTGATCTACCAGCATTTTTTGGATAACTGTCTCTGGAGCTTCGTACGGCTACCCACGGAAGAGGAACGGCTTGTCGACTCGGAGGTGTTAGAGTTCTTGGGAATTTCTCCCGAGGACGCCCCGGTATCCCAGGGTACGGAGACCCGGGGGGGCGGTGGTCTCCAGGACCAGCACTGACACCGTGTTCCACCAGAACCGGGTTGCCCCGGAACAGATGGGGCCTGTGCTGTCCCGGAGTTCGTACATTGATGACATTATCTACGGAGCTCCATCCTGGGATGACCTATGCAAAACGCTGAATGCCCTCCTGTACCGACTGTGGTACTGGAACATTTCGGTGAGCCTCCCAAAGAGCGAGTTCGGGGTCAAGAAATGCAAGTACCTCGGGCACGCCATCAGCTCGGACGGAATCCGGACGTCCCCGAAGCTAGCGGAATAGGTTCTCAACTTGCCGTTCCCGAAGACCCAGAAAGGAGTACAGTCCTTCCTCGGGAGCCTCAATTACTACGCCAAGTTTATCGAGGACCTACCCGTAGTCGCGGCCACTCTCTACGAAGCATCGGACGAGCAACTGCGTTCCGGACGAGATTTGGAGAAGCCCAAGCATGCGTTCAAGATACTCAAGGACCGGCTAGTTTCGATCCCACTGCTCCAGCACCCCGACCCCGGGAGACAGTATGTAATAATATTGCATGCCAACCCCTGGGCCATCAGCGCGGTTTTGGAGCTGGATCACGACGGCGCCATACTACCTGTGCGGTTCGTGGGGCGTGTTCTCCAGGACGCCGAGCTTCGGTACCATCCCGCTGAAAAGGAGGTTTTAGAACTGCTCCGCGTTCTGAACACATGCCACACGATGATTACCAACTGCTCCGAGAAGAAAATTCGCGTGTACACCCCGTACTCGATGCTGGCATGGCTGTTCAAGTCCAAGACGGTGAACGGAAGATGCCTCAAGTGGGCGGTCAATCTGTCTCCCTGGGACCTCGACATTCGACGAGTTGAGAACGACGAAGATGGATTGGCAGCGATCCTGGGGGCGGGTATCACCCCCCCCGGGAACGGCTCGACGAGGGCGCCG